AACGTCGCACTCGCTTACGTCACTGTCATGAGACATTCTCGCAAAAAATCACGGTTTTAGTAACGCAGTAACGCAGCGTTCCTACGGGAAAGTAACGGTAATCTAATTACCTTTTTTGCAATAGTAGTCCCTTACTTTACTCGTTACTTGAAAAAAGTAATCAGACTTTAAACTTTAAAATTTAATCCACCTGCTCTGAGTACTTTACTGCCCATCTCTGGTTGTTGGTGCTCTGCAGCATTTCCAGCACGTTCTCCTCTGCAGGTTTCAGTACATTTAATCAGTTCATGGGACTGTGGCGGCTCATTGGACATCTTTAACCTTCACACCAACTCAAACCCAAATATCGTCACACAGCAGTCTTGCTGATCTTTCATCTTCACGTTCTTGTTCCTGATCGATGTATCCAGAAACTGCAGCATCTAACCTGTGTTCACTCCTTGAGAGAATGAGCACCGACGTGCTGTCAGAAGCTTAGCATGAACTTTGAACCTGTTCTCAGTGTTTTTCATTCAGGCTGAGCTGCAGCTCATGTTCGGTCAGATGGAGGTTTGTGTCTGAGCTCTGAGCTGGAGAGAAAAACACACGATCAGGACGAGACAGGAAACAAAAGCTGACATGTTGATAAAACTGTTATTTCAAACAGAGTTGGGTGTGTTTCGTAACTATTAGACCTTATAAGGCAGCAGCAGAGAGAGGGTCAGAACTGCAGACTGCTGCTGTTTGCTCTGAAAACACACAAAACATCCAGCAGACACACAGCGACCAGCCGGCAAACACTGAGCTAATGTCCAGCCAAAAGCCGAAAATATCACCAACATACAACGACTGTGAAGCCAGCAGTCAGCACGCTCTGAGCTGACATCACAGCAGTAACCATCCGACAGCCCCTCTTGCAAGTGAAGGCCCACCGGAGCCCACTGGAGGGCAGGCATGTATACTGCTCTGTCCTCACCCAGGACCAGTTTGCCTTGGGAGGCCAGTAGCTCCTGGGTTCATGCTGGTGTAGTAACCACCACCATGATGAGGTGATTCACAGGTAGGTGTGTCAGGAACCACCGCACTCATCTGATGCTGAACAACTACAGATGCTACTGATACTCACAGCCGTGTCGGGTGTTACAGGTCATCAGAACAAGGACTGAGCTGCAGATGAAAATACGGTTTCCTCAGAGTCACATGATCAGCTGATCACATGATGCCTCTGAGGTGTGCACATGCTCAGAGCATGTTTGTGATGTCACTCTCTGATGGTTGTTTCCTCTGATAGGAGAATGACTGACGTGCGGTTGGCTTCAGTTTCCACCGTCTCCAAGGTTACAAGCCTGTCACAAGGATGCGGTTCCCACGGCAACGAGCCTCCAGCTTTCGTCCTTCCTCCCCGTAATGCCCGGGTCACGCTGGGGGGAGAAGCTCGACTGGAGGGCAAGGTGAGACTCTGATTGGTTCTTTTTACCTCTAAACCTGAAACAGTGAACAGCGTTTACACCTCTGAGGTGGTTTAAGGTGGACTCGACACCGTGAAGATAACTAAGATGTGAGATATTGCCACCTGTCAGGTCTGAGAATGAGACGTCCCGGCACTCTGAACTCTGGATGAGACCTTCAGTCTCTGGAGGTTCATCAGAGCCGATGTCAGCAGCAGCTGAGCTGTTCAGACATGCAGCCTTTCTTATCAGACGGAGGTTTCAGCCCACTTTAAACTCTGGCTTTGTATAAATAGTTGTGTTCCTGTGACCTGAGCGAGCGGTGCCAGCGTGCATCAGGAAGCTGTAATCACCACAGTTTGACCAAATATAAACATGGAGGCTAGAAATGAGGCTCTGTGTATGAGGAAAGCCTCAGGAGACGCTGACGCCCTCACAGACTCACAACAGACTGACGATCAAAGTCAGACTGGCTCATTTTAAACGACTCACTTTAATGCAGAAAATTAATTGTTAAAACTTCTTGATGATTTATACGTGTTAATATTTATCATTTCCTCTTTTCTGAGCACTTTGCAACCTGTATGCCTTCCTCTTATTTTTGTATATATATTCCTCTTCATTATTATTTATTCCTGCACAGTCAAAGGAGCTTACAAAGAAAAGCGTCTGGACTTCTTTAAGTTGCTTGAAGACGTTTCACCTCTCATCCGAGAAGCTTCTTCAGTTCTAAGATCAAATGGTGGAGAGTCCCAGATATAAACCTAGTGGGAGTTTCCCCCCACAGAGGGACAAAAGGACCCCCTGATGATCCTCTAATCGCCTGAGCCAAGGTGTGAAACTGGGTGTGGGTCCCAATCAGCCAGAGTTTCGGGTGAGCTCATTGTGAAACCTGGCCCCACCTTATCATGCGAATTCCTGAGGTCAGATGGCCCAGGATGTGAGTGGGCGTTAAGGCGTCTGGGAAGGGATCTCAAAACTGGATTATACAGTAGATGGCAGAGAGTTGGTGTGGTAGAACTGAAGAAGCTTCTCGGATGAGAGGTGAAACGTCTTCAAGCAACTTAAAGAAGTCTTTTCTTTGCAAGCTCCTTAGACTATGCTGACCTGGATGACTGAGAACCTTCACAGACTTGTTCCTGCACAGTTGGTGTGGAGCACCTACAATTCTGTTGCACATGTACAATAACAATAAAGGGCTATTCTATTCTATTCTATTCTTCAACATAACACTGAAGCAGGACTTGAGGACAGACACTCGGTGTGGGAGGAATGACACGATTTGTGTCTGGATCTTTTTCCAGAATAAAGTGCTTCACTGATCTGAGAGACCATAAAAACAAAGCTCACAGCAGCAGATCATAAAAGCAGGACTGAGACAGAACAAACATCCCAACTTTAAAGAACACGTTTAAGGCGGTTCGCTGCCAGCCACAGAAATAAGAGTGAGGAGGATCAGGCTGAACCTTCATCACAGGTCAGGAGACTGTGTTTGTATCTGAGAGTCTGAAAGGCTGGAAGGATGTGAGAGCAGACGGATTAACATTTCTTCAGTCTTGTGACCGGCTGCATCCTGATGTGAAGCCTCCCAACAATCCCAGCACACCAAACACTCTGTTTCTGCTTTATTTGCTCTCTGAAGTCATTTTCTGTGTTTGGCCCGACTTTAATCAGCGGCTCTTACGCTGCTCTGGTTTCCCCCGTGGTTTTACACCAGTTTAACCACTTAAAGACCCAATCGCAGCCAAACTGGACAAGTTTCACCTGAAGGCAGCGCTCTTCATTTCTGCCTCAGCTCCTCTGGCTGTCTGCTGACTGCATGTGAAGAATCCCAGGACACCTGAATGCACCACAAATCCCCAAACATGATGGATGGATCTGCAGAGCCTGATGAAAGTCCTCAAACACATCTGTCCACCACATGCTGCACACACACACAGACACACACACACGCTTGCTTTCCTAGTTCTGTGAGGTCCTTAGTCCTCTTCGAGTCCTGCAGATTCGGTCTCTTCTGTCACGCTGACCTCAAACCAAACACACACTGTATATAAAAGATGGACACAGCCTCCGTTATGCCAGATGAGTCTGTGTGAAATCAGCTGATTGCTTTTCTCCATTGTCTGAATCGTTCAGGTGCGCGGCCATCCTGAGCCACAGGTCACATGGTACAGAGAGGGAAGGGCCATGATTGGTGGAGAGCACTACATCGTGGAACGGGGTGGGCGGGGCAACTTCAGCCTTTTGGTGAGAGGGGTCATGGAGGAGGACCTGGGCAGTTACACCTGTCAGGCAACCAATCAGGCGGGGAGCCGTCAGGTTACCGTGGAGATCCTTCTGGAAGGTAAGAGCGTGAGCAGCTCTGACAGGAAACAGTCACTGTGAGGAAAACGTGTTCGTATGGTTTTCCTCTGTGGACATGTGACACCCACACTCGTTATGCCCTCATTTTATTTCTGCTTGCTGCCTTGTTGGTTCAAATAAAAACACTCATAACGTTTTTTAAAGGTTTAACGAAAGCTCGATCTGATGCTCTGATGTTTTTCCACCTGCAGAGAATTCTGGGAAGAAATACGTCGTGCCGCCGTCCATGAAAGCAGGGTGAGCCGTGCAAACAGCTGTGAGCGCGACGTCTCAGAGGACACTCCTTTCACACAGCTCTGAGTTTGGCTGAACGTTTTCCTCCCAAACAAAAAACACTGCTCACAAAAATGAAAGGAACACTTTGAAAACTCATCAGGCTCGATGGGAAAACCTGGTGCTGGACTTCAGCACTGATATGGACCGGGTCGTGTGGAGGAGTCACATCGATTCATTTAATTAAAAATGATCAACGTGCAGAGGCTGAATTCAAACATCCCAAAGAGTTTAAATTAAAATTTCATTGGAATCAGTGAAAACGGTGCTCACTTATCCATGTCTGCCTGTGGGGGGCTGTGTGTCCCTCCATGAATAAGCCTCCCACACATTCAGGCATCATCCTGGAGGAGTTGAGCTACCTAAGCAGCCTCTGCAGGGTCCAGTCCTCACCTCATGCTACCAGCATGGAGACCAGCCGAATGCAAAACTAGTGAAAAACAGTCAGAAGAGAAGAGGAAGGAAACATGTGAGTGTCCTCCACCCGTGAAAGCATTCCTGCTCTGGGGGCTGTGTCCTTGTTGTTAGTTTCATTAACACCAAAGCAGCTGAACCTGATTAACACCTCCTCTGATACTGAACCAATCAGATCAGTATCCCAAAGTTCACTGACTTGATGTCAAACTCAGATTAAAAAGTGCTCCTTTCATTTTTTCAGCAGTGTGTAAACACCAGCATCCAAACACCAGGGGGCGCTGCTGCACAGGGTTGCACTCCATGCTTATAAAGAAGTAACTGCTAAGTGCTGATCCCAGAACTCCATTTCTCACGATTCCAGGTGTCGCTCTGCAGCTCCTGCTGTGGAGAACAGGCCGAGCATTTGGAGTGAGAGTCCCCCAAAGTTCATCAACAAACCGAGCCGAGTGTTTGCCGAGCCGGGACAGAACGCCAAGTTCTCCGCCAAAACCACAGGACGCCCACAGCCCAGGGTCACCTGGCACAAGGTACGAGGAGCTTCAGATCAGAGCTGCAGAGGAACAGCTGAGAAGCTGTGGGATCTCAGTCTCACTCGCAGCGGCGGCTGGAGGACAGATTCTTTGTCCGCTTTTACTGATTAACTCAGTATTTACTGTTTGTCTCTCAGGGGGAGGCGGAGCTTCAGTCTGGTGGGCGGGTCAGCATATACGAGCGCTCAGGCCTTCACTTCCTGGAGATAAAGGATGTGATTGTCCAGGATGCAGGAAGTTACAAGTGTTTGATCAGCAACGGCTCCGGAACAGCGACTGCCTGTGCCGAGCTTACCGTCCAGGGTGAGGCAGCCAATCAGAGTCGTTCAGCTGCTGCACGCGCTCATTTGTCATTATTTAAAACTGCAAACCAAACGCTGCAGTTCCTCTGCTGTCCAGCAGAGGCAGCTGTGAGTCAGCCCCACGTTAAAACATGTTTACAGCCTGATGTTGAGCAGCTGGTGGCGGTGAGGCGCTCTGAGCGTGTGACTGTGTGGATGCTGATGATGTGGACGTTCTCTCTCTCACGTGTCCTCCCCTCTCTTCTCCAGGTGCTCCTGACGACTCGTCCAGGTGAGTGCTGTCATGTCTGGATGTGTTAACAGTAAGAATCCCTCAGAGCTGTTTCCTGTCTGAAGCTCTGGTGGACGGACAGCAGCGTCCCTCTCAGAGCTTCGTCAGCTCCTGGGAAACGTGGCTCCTCTTTCCTTTGCTGCTGCTAAAGTTTTCCAGCTGAGTTTGAGATCTTTTGGCTTCACGAGCTGGAAACTTGTTCTGGAAAACTGCTTGAGTGTTCACAGCAGCAGGTTAGAGGCAGCTGAAGGAAGCAGAGGAGATTCCTCATCAATCTGAACTCCTGTGGGGACGCTAACCGGCAGGTTTCACCTTTCAGAACCTGCTGCAAATAATCCGTCTGAGGTTTCTTACTGTCTGACCGAAAAGAGACGTCATAAAAATAAATCCACCAGTAAATCAAATATTTCCAGACTGCAAAGAATTAAAAACATGCTGTCACACAGGGACAGTCACCGTGGTAACGAGGACGGCATGTTCAGAATCATCCACTCTGGTTCCTCCCGCAGGACCGGCCGGCCCACTGACGACCCACAGACCAGAACCAGGAGCCAGAAGGAGGGCAGAGCTGCTCCCAGCACCCAGCCCGAGGAGCAAGAGCCCAGACAGGCCCCCTCCTGGAGGAGCGAACCACCTGCACAGCTCCCTCTGCTGGCTGAGAGGAGAACTGCACCTGATCAGGTTATTTTACTACTACTAATAATAATGTTTCTAAAACTCATGCCAGGCAGAATAAATGAAAGAGAATGACATGAAGTGAAAGAGCTCCTGCTCCCCTGCAGGTCCGGTCCATCGACGCTCCTGATCCAGATCAGACCTGCTCGGTCCAGCAGTCAGGACCCGGCTCAGATAGCAGGTCAGAACTTGGATCAATTCACTTTTATTTAAATGTGAAGTCACGTCCACTTTCAGGTGTGCTCAGGATCACCTGTGTGTTTCAGGCCGGTGAGGACGTCCAAGGCAGGTTCCAACCTGCGGTTCGAGGCCGTCCCCCTGGACCAGGAGGCCACAGAGGGAGCTCAGGTCACGTTCACCTGCCAAGGTGAGAAACGCCTCAGACTGTGAAGGTGGAATCACTGACACGAGGCAGCTCTGAGCAGATGGTTAATGATGATTTAAATAAAGGTTTCATTTCAGGTCTCAGCTCCTCCACAGCTTTACTGTGACTTTAAGATCCTGTGAGTATGAGCCGCCTCTCCTCTTCCTCACAGTGTCCTCCTCTGCTGCCGGGGCCATGGTCACCTGGCTGAAGGACGGGGGGCCCGTGAGGACGGGATCAGGTCTGCGGCAGAGACGAGACGGCACCCGTCTCACTCTCACCGTGGAGAGAGTGAGACGGGTGGACCAGGGCGTGTACAGGTGTCAGCTGACCAACGCTGACAGGCTGACGGTGGACTCTGCAGCGTGGACGCTCCTCGTGCACAGTGAGTTCCTCCTCACATAGACTAAAGGACCTGAAATGAAACCTTTATTTAAACCATCTCCTCAGAGCTGCTTCATGATGGATGGGGGGTGGATGAATGGATGGGTGGGTGGATGAATGGATGGTGGGGTGAATGAATGGATGGGGGGTGGCCATCTACTGTTTGGAAGGTTAGTGGTTCGATCCCTGGCTCCTTCCTTGGGCAAGATACTAACCCCAAATTGCTCTCAGATGCATCCATCAGAGAATGAATGCATGAATGTTAGTAAGGAAGCACAACAATCTTAGAAGACATGCGTGTATGGGTGAGTGTGACTGGGTGAATGTGGCGTGTTGTATAGACCGCTTTGAGTACTGTGGGAGAGCAGAAAGGTGCTGTGTAAGAGTCGGTCCATGACCCTGTGTGGATGCATAGATGTTGTAACGCAGGGCAGAGGAACAGCTTCACTCTGAGGCTCAGAGTGTGATGACCGAGTCCTCCAGCAGAGGGCAGCACTGACTCTCACACAGAAACACAATCGTGGTCCAACAGGAAACTGAGGACATACTCCATCCTGACCTTTGACCTGACCTTCTGATCAGAGAGAGAAAAACAAACACACACAGGACAGAAATGTTTGTGTGGGAGAATCTGAGACGTTTGGAGTGAAGCAGGAAGTGCACTCTGAACTCACAGGAAGTGTTTCATCAGCTCACCTGAAACATGACACTGTGAACGCTGCCACCTGCTCACCTTCATGACAGGAACAGGCTGCAGTGAGCAAACACCAGTTTATGGTCCATCGTAACTGTAGCAATGACATAAAGTCCAAAAATAGAGTCTGGGTTTCAAATCTGTCTTTAAAACAGAAGAGTCGTCGTCACAGAGCACCCACACCCACAGCATTCACACCACAGTGTAGTGGGCTGCTCCATCCACTCATACAGATCACCTACAGTCACCGTGACTCATTCATCAGCATGAAGCAGATTAACTGATTATCAGAGTGTGTGTGTGTGTGTGTGTGTGTGTGTGTGTGTGTGTGTGTGTGTGTGTGTGTGTGGTGAGGTTACTCACGCCGTCTCGTTACCTGCTCTGTTCCTGTTGTTTCGATTGGTCAGAATCATGAAGCTGATGTAACCACGTGGATCAGCTGGAGTCACAGCTCAGGTTTTTCAGCGCCGTGTCGTTGAACCGCTGAGCAGAGGCAGCAGAGAGCCGAGAGCCATATAAAGACAAAACACGCAGCAGCAGCACACACACACACACACACAGAGTAAGACTGAAGCCGACCCAAGAAGGGCATGCAGAGGGAGTCCACAGCTTCATCAGGCGGTGGGGACTCCTCTCAGCTCTGCAGCTGATCCCAGGTCTGCCTCGGCTGGACAGCAGCTACAGAGTGATGCTGACTCAGAAACTCTTTGGTCTGGTTTGCTGCTCTTTAGTTTGCGGCTCAGGTTTGTAAGAACATGGTTTCATAAATAAGTGCTGAGTAAACACTGCAGTGAAATATGAAACACTTTGGTAAATGGCGTGCTTCTGTCACTCATCCCGACTGTCACTTCCTCCTCTTCCTGTCATCTGTTTTTCCTGATCTTCTGCTCTCGCGTTCACACTCGGCCCTCTTTAAACTGCTCTGTGGACATGAAGATGGATGAAATGAAAGGTCGGCCGCTATCAGCAGATTTAAAATGATTAAAAACAGATTACCACCTGTGAGGAAGTTTGCAGCCTGAACCTCTCAGCTCAGGAGCCTCAGTTCATCTGATTCAATGCTCAGCCACATAACAAGTTTGTTCATGATGAGACTGTTTTTGTTTCATTCATCATATCGTTTCCTTTTCTTTATACATTTTGTTCCACGTGACAGTAACTGATTTATTTCACTGATATTATTGCAAACAACGGGAACGTGGAGCAAATCTTATAAAACTCCTGCCTCTGATAAATGTTTGCAGACCAGAAGGAGATCTGCTGAGCTTAGTCACAGTTTTCAGTGTCTTACCTTGTTCAGTCACCATGGTAACTGATACTGAACATCTCACCTGGTCCGGAGCAGGCGAGGCTCACAGTTTCCAGCACAGTGTGTCTTTAAAGTGGTCACCAGTGTAGAAACATGAACAGTCAGAGCTCTGTTGAGCCAACAATCCCTTTAACGTTAACTAGTAATGACTTCATGAACTTCTTCACAAATAACATTTTTATCATTAGAGAAAAAATTACCAATAATCATCCCACAGATGTAATATTATCTACAGCTACTCTTAGTACCATTGAGGTTAAGTTAGACTCTTTTTCTCCAATTGATCTTTCTGAGTTAACTTCAATAATTACTTCCTCCAAGCCATCAACGTGTCTTTTAGACCCCATTCCTACAAAACTGCTCAAAGAAGTCCTGCCATTAATTAATGCTTCAATCTTAAATATGATCAACCTATCTCTAATGATCGGCTATGTACCACAGGCCTTCAAGCTGGCTGTAGTTAAACCTTTACTCAAAAAGCATCTCTAGACCCAGCAGTCTTAGCTAATTATAGGCCAATCTCCAACCTTCCTTTATATCAAACATCCTTGAAAGAGTAGTTGTCAAACAGCTAACAGATCATCTGCAGAGGTTTATTTGAAGAGTTTCAGTCAGGTTTCAGAGCTCATCACAGCACAGAAACAGCTTTAGTGAAGGTTACAAATGAAAGCTTAGAAATATGGTATCTAACCAGATTCTTACTCTGGATGGCATTACCTTGGCCTCCAGTAACACTGTGAGGAACCTTGGAGTCATTTTTGACCAGGACATGTCCTTCAACGCACATATTAAACAACTATGTAAGACTGCGTTCTTCCATTTGTGCAACATCTCTAAAGTTAGAAATATCCTGTCTCAGAGTGACGCTGAAAAACTAGTTCATGCATTTATTACTTCCAGGCTGGACGACTGTAATTCATTATTATCAGGAAGTCTAACTTTCTGATTTCAGACTGTTTAGCTGATCAGATGTGATGAAATAATAGAAACCAGAACGCTGCTGGTATCACAGCTCCTGTGGATGAATGTAGCTCACAGACCTCAGTCTGGGTCCTGCAGATGCAGTTCTGTGAATGTGAACATTATTTGGTAATGTTTATTTTTCATCACTCACAATATTTTATATCTTCCTCCCACCTCGACTACTCACGTAAATTTTATCATTAATCTAAGACCCGCGTGATAAAATATAACCACCGCTGTCGTAACACCAGCTCTGTGAAGTTACTGAGCTCAAAGCAGAAATCAAAGAAGCTGCTGCAGGAAGAGTTACTGCCCTGATGGTTTCTGGACTTTATTTGAATGTAATTTGCTGAATAGTGCAGAATTTCATTTTATTAGAGGGATGAGTGAGAGCAGCATCAGTCAGCCAATCACTGATCAGCGTGTTGGAGAGGACCCTTCATCGCAGCTTTATAAGGACAATCAGGCATGCAGCAGGAAATCCCCCACTCAGTACACACACACACACACACACACACACACACACACACACACACACACACACACACACACACACACAGTGAAATACCAGCGGGTTCCCACAGACAGCAGATTTCCATGTGAGGACAATAAAGTCTCATCTGCAGTCTGAGAAGAATCTGTCTCGGCTGCTGAAGTCGTTTCACTCAGTGAGTTTGTATCTGCAGGTCACATGACTCCTCACAGTGTAGGAGGAAGTGTTCATATCCTTTCAAAATAAAGAACTGCCAAACTACAGCGTGCATCGATCCATCAGAGTTTGAATTCCTGCGCTGGAAACAGCAGTTTTATGGTTTTCTGTTTAATGTGAAGGTCACAGCGCCATGGTTCATAACCTCAGCTGAAGGAGAGCAATATTCACAAACTTTCATTTTCTTTGTAAAAGTAGAGAATTCTGAAACTCCCAAACTAGACAGGCTGGGTCTGCTGCAGCTGTTGTGCAGAACTTTACCAAATTACTTTACCAGCAATGGATGGATGGATAGATGGGTGTAGTGATGGATGGAGAAATGGATAGTGATGAAGGATGGATGGAAGGATGAAGGAATAATAATAATATAATAATAATGGATTGCATTTATATAGCGCTTTTCGAGAACCTCAAAGCGCTTTACAATTCCACTATTCATTCACTCTCACATTCACACACTGGTGGAGGCAGCTACAGGTGTAGCCACAGCTGCCCTGGGGCAGACTGACAGAAGCGAGGCTGCCATATCACGCCATCGGCCCCTCTGGCCAACACCAGTAGGCGGTAGGTGAAGTGTCTTGCTCAAGGACACAACGACGAGACTGTCCAAGCTGGGGCTCGAACCAGCAACCTTCCGGTTACAATGGAATGGATGCATGGATAGATGGATGAAAGATTAATGGAGGGATTGATGAAGGAATGGATGGACGGATGATGGACGGATGGATGGATGAAGTGATGAAGGACAGACGGAAGGGTGATGGATGGGTGGATGGATGAAGGAATGGATGGATAAAGGGAGGGATGATTGATGGATGAATGCATGGATGGATGGTTGGATGGAATGATAGATGGAGTGATGAAGGATGGATGGGTGGAGAGTTGATGGATGCGTAGATGGATTTATTTGTCACTGGTGTAAGAAGGAAAGATGAAACCAAAGCCGGCGTTTCAGATATTCAGATTTCTGTTTCTTCACCTCCTCTGCCCCCACTCGTCTCATCAACCCTGGAAACACCCCAGCATGGAAATATGATTATACTAACTGTTGTTACAGTGTGTGTGTGTGTGTGTGTGTGTGTGTGTGTGTGTGTGTGTGTGTGTTCATCAGTTAATGTGACGCACACACAGCCGGTGAGCAGTGTCCTCTCTGGTATTTCTGATATGTACACAGAACAAAACACACACAGTTCCTCCTCACATGAGCGCACACACATACACAGGCATGTTTAATGGACTTTAGTGTGTGTGTGTGTGTGTGTGTGTGTGTGTGTGTGTGTGTGTGTGTGTGTGTGTGTCTGAGAGAGAAAAGGAAACCCTCGCTCCTTATAAGGAAGAGGACGAGTGAGGCTCAGGCTGGTGCTCTCTGCTCTCTCTCTGCCTCGGGCTAACACACTGAGCTCTGGGTTTGGATTATGATAGTTTAATGTGATTGGCTGTTACACTGTAAATAAAAACAGGAAGTCAAACGTGCATTATTTCCCTTTGACATTTGAAGTATCAGCAGACTGGAGTACTCTCGTGTACTGGAGTAAATGTACTTGATTACATTAGTAACTGCTCCTTTTTCTTCTTTATGCGTTTCCGCCCTGCAGGCAGACAGAGAGGCGGGAGGTCAGAGGTCACAGAGGTCAGAGCTGCGTGTGAAGCTCCTCGCTTCATTGGTCGCCTGAGCGATCTGAAGGTGATGGACGGCAGCAGAGTCACCATGACGGTGGAGCTGAGCGGTAAGTGTGTGTGTGTGTGTGTGTGTGTGTGTGTGTGTGTGTGTGTGTGTGTGTGTGTGCGAGCTGTGGTATTTCCTGTCTGATCTCTGGGGAGATGGAGGAGATGCGATGAGGGCAGATTTACTTCTTCGTTTCCTCTGAGTGTTGTTGTTGCTCTGATATGACAGCACGCATTGTTTCTGAATTATGAGTTCATTATGAGTCCCCACATTATTAACCCCGCAGTGTGTGTGTGTGTGTGTGTGTGTGTGTGTGTGTGTGTGTGTGTGTGTGTGTG